GTCGGGGACTTGGAAGGATGGTGGCACCTTGGACAGAAATGGAAATGAGGTAGGTTTATGGTAGAAGATTCCGTATGGGACTTGCTGAATGTGAGATGCTGCGAATGGCACATCCACGTGGAGATGAGTTCTTTGTGTAGATTTGGGAATTCTAGACATATTTGAACCCATAAGACATATAAAGGACAAGAAAAAGATCCTTTTCTATCAGAAGTAGTTTATACCTACCCTTTTCTTATTGTTCAGTTGTATCTGACTTTGTGACCCCTTTTGAGGTTTTCTTGGCAAAGATGCTGGAGTTGTTTGCCATTTCTTTTCCCAGTTCATTTTACAGATGAAGAAACAGGCAAACAGTTAAGTGACTTGCCCAGGGTCCCACAGTAAGTGTCTGAGGCTGTATTTGAAGTCAGGCCTTCCTGACTCCAGGCCTGGCACTGAATCCACTTTGTCACCTAGCGGCCCTCATTTTCTTGTTGCCTCTTCTTGACTCTACAAAATCTAACTTCTCTCTTAAAACTACTCTCAAAAATCACCAGTAAGGGGCAGCAAGGTGGCGCAGTGAATAGAGCATGGGTACTGGATTCAGAAGGACCTGAGTTCAAATCTGTCTTCAGACACATAACACTAGCTGTGTCACCCTGGGCAAGTCATAACCCCATTGCCTAGCCAAAAAAAAAAAAGTCACCAGTGTCCACCTTGACAAATGTACTGACCTTTCCTCAGTTTTCACTGTCACTGACATCTGTAGTCTCTGACACAATTGAGTCTACCTTCTATAATCACTCCTGAGACATCCATTGCACATTTCCAGCTCTTCTCTCTGACTGATCGGGTTTTTTTGGGTCTCCTTTACTGACTCTATTTTGTTCCTTCACTTCCTAAATATTAGATAACTCTGAAAGGCTCAGTCCTTAACTCTTCACTCTTGTGTGCTTATTCTCCCACTTCAAACTGATTTTGTCTCCTCACTTCAAGTACTAATGTTACCCTGATGACGCTTGTCTAGCTTGATCTTTTTCCGAACTCTAGTTCTACATATCTAACTGCCTGTAAAATACTGCCAATTAAGCATTTCTTAAGCACCCACTATGTGCTAGGCCAGGGGTGGGCAACCTGTGGCCTTGAGGCTACACGTAGCCTTCTAGGTCCTTGGGTGCTACCTTTTGACTCAGTCCAAGTTTTACAGAACAAATCCTTTTATTAAGGGGATTTGTTCTGTCAAGTTTGGATTTGGTCAAAGGGCCGCACTTGAGAACCTAGAGGTCCATGTGTGGCCTCGAGGCTGAAGTTTCCCCACCCCTGTGCTAGGCTCTATCCTCAAGGAACTTTCATTCTACTTGCAAGTCCAATTGATCCCGCCAACTCAATGTGTCCAATTTGCCTTCCATTCCTGATTTCTCTATTCCGGTCATCAGTACAACCATTCTTCCTGGTTCTTCAGTTTCAAAATCATGTGGTAAACATCGCTTTCCTCATTTATGCCCATTCAGTCACTTTAAACTGATTCGACCCATGAAATAACAACTGTCTTTTGATGTTATTTCTTCCATTTCTATCCATTCTGCCACCTACCTGGTCAATGCATTGGCTACTGCACCTGCTAGCTAACTTGTCTTGCCTTGGTTTCTTATTTATAAAATGAAGGTTTTGGACGAGGTGACCTCTGAGGTCCATTCCAGGCCAAAATCTGTGAACCTGTGAATTTAATCACTTTGCAAAAGTAAAAAGGGCAGTGTAAACACTATGCCTTCCATGTAGCTTTTACTGATTTCATCCACTTGTCCCACCTTGGGCTGATCTCTCAGCACTCTGGATCTCTTGTGTACTTTCATCCTTTTTGCATTATATTTATGTTCATGTTTTATTCCATTCTACTAGATTGTAACTTCGTAAGGACTGTGACATATCCAGCCTTATATCCACCCTACCCCGCAGGTACACTGGTTCTTACAGTGTCTTGTACTTATCTGGCACTCAAATGTTGCATTTAATTTTTGCTGAATACTGCCTTACACTGTTACTTAACTAGGTTTCATGTGTTTTCTCTTTAAAGTATAAGCTTCTAGAAGTCAGGTACTTTCTTTATCCTTCCTCAGGGACTTAAAGAACCTTGGGTGTATTGGCCCTTTCGACGTTCCCTCCCTCTTACCTCATCCTTCCTCTCGTTCTTCCTATTGGAAGAACCTTGTGTGATTGATCTGGAGTGTGGTATTGGTGAATGGCCTCTACTGTAGAATAAGCTAGCCATCATATGCATATTTCCTCTCATTTCTGGGCTGTGGTCTTCTTTTGCAACCCAAGCCAGGTATAGAAAGGTAGGAGATATATTAATGATGGCTCATTTGTGCACTTTGTCATTACAAAATACATAATAGACATCTCCTTTGATCTTACAACATTCTTCTGAAACAGAGCAGATATTCCCATTTTACAAATAAGGAAAGAGATTCAGAGTGGTGAACTGAGGAGAGGACTCCAAAAGTAACCTTGGAACATTTCCCACCCCATTTGGGAATCTCCTTTAAAGCCTCCTTGGATAAAATGACTTGGAAGGTTCCTTCCGGTTCTAAGTCCCATTCTATGACTTCATCACAGTCACAGCAATAGAAGAGAAAGGGCTGAGACTGAAAGTCAGTTTTTCTTCCTCTGACTGCTTTTTCTATCAACTGCGTCTCCATGAGGAAAGCTAGATTAGGAGAGATGGTCTGTGTTGAGAGAGGGGTTACTTGGAAGGAATGGGCTGGGAATCGTCTGGCTCTGCTCTAGCCCTCACAATCACAGCTTCAGCTGAGAAGCATCTTTGGGGTATGATCAAATGTTAGCAATTTGAGATGCAAGGGGGTGAAGTGTAGAAGAGATTAGGACCAATCACCAGCAGTTTTGGAATGCTGATATTCAAAAGGTTTATTAGTAACAAAGCTTCATTAGCATTTACTCATGCGTGTGTGTGTGTGTGTGTGTGTGTGTGTGTGTGTGTGTGTGTGTGTGTGGTCCTAAATTTGAGTAAATTGGGGAGCATTCTCCAGGGGCCTCATTCCATGCAGGGTGAATAGGGTCCGATTGGGGTGATAGGTTCTCTGGGAGACAGAGAAGTAGAAAGCTGCAGGCAAGGAAGGAAAAGGGACACTGCCTGACTGCACAATACATATCAGGTCCAAACCACAACAGCTGGGTTGTGTGTGGGTGGGGGCAGGTCTGCATGGGGCAAAGAAATAGAGGTTAAAAATGTCCATTTCTCTGAATTTCTTCTACAAAGATAAAAGGAGGTTTACACAAGACTGTGTTTGCAAATTATTTCTTTGTTTTATCAGTGTTTTCTTTTATAATATGCTGCATATGGTACTTGGATCTTGGTTTTGTGTATCTTCTTCGATTGTCAGTCCAGGGTCCAGATGCAAAATATGCCTGGATCCATCTGGTTTGGCTTGAATGTCTTTGATGGATTGTAGTATCCATTAAAAATACTGTTTTCTTTTGCCCCTTTATCTTAGTAAATTTCCACACTATTCTCACACAATCTGGTGTTCATTCAGCCGTTCGCTGGTAATTCTGCATTCCAATCTCTTCCCAACTGAGTTAGTAAAATGAACTGAAATTATAATTCACTATTATAACTACTGATTAATCCATTAGTATAATATCTATTTTAGCTCACTATTATTGAGAACCCTTAAGCCCTCAGTCCTCTTGTCCTTTTTCTGGAAGGTGAGGTCCCTCATACTGACTAGCTAGTATTGTTCTACCTATATTAGCATATAGTCCTAGGTTAAGACATGGAGAGAAGGGGATGAAGCCCCTTTCTTTGATAAGTATGGATCTTAAAAATTTAGAGTCAAAAGGGGACATAAGAGGTCATCTAGTCCAACTGCCTTATTTTAGATTGAGGAAACAGGACCAGAGAAACAAACGACTTGCCCAAGGTCAAACAGAGGAAAACCAGAGACTAGAGAGAATGCAGGTGTCTTGATTACTGGTCCAACGCTTTTTCCAATAGAATTGTTTTTCAATTCCTTAGCCCTCCTTTGGAGGGGGAGCAGCATGGTGCCTGGGAGTCAAGTCTCATGGATTTAGTCACTTGTCTGTGTGGTTTGGGAGGACGTGGGGGTTGGGAAGAAGGAAGAGGTGGGCAGAAGGAGAAATCTGACGATGGAGGTCTCTTTGCCCAGGATGGAGGATTTTGGGATGATGTTGGGGAATCGAAGGAGAAGGAGGGAAGGCAAAATGTGAGGAAGTTCTTGGTTTTTATTGCCTTACCCACTATGTGACCAAAAAGGTGAGGGAGAATGGCTGGAGATGTTCTGTTAATGCCCTTTCCTCTTGTATATTTGTTTCTGCAGCTGGCAGTGGGGTAAATGGGCAAAGGAAGGATACTGGGGGAAGGTGTACTTGCAACAAATAACCAGAAACGCTGATGTCTGGGAGGGGTGTGGACACAACTACCATCCTTCAGATGTGAGGGACACTGGAGTCCAAAGCTCTAGGAAACATATCACCCCAATCAGACCTTATTCACCCTATTTTCACTAATTAACATGTGGTTGTGGTACTGCAATTGGGTACCGCCATATGGCTAATTGAAGGGGGTGGGGAATTATCGGGGATGGCGTGTTTATGGGGAGGGTTCCTAGACTCGAGAGTTTATCCTGAAATTTTGCAGGGTTGGAGAAAAGGAGGTTGGTTGTCATGCTCTCTGGGAAGCAGCCCCCAGATTCCTGCCTCTTCTGGTTTGGACCTGATATGTATTGTGTAGGCAGGCAGTGTCCCTTTCCTTCCTTGCCTGTAGCTTTGTACTTCTCTGTCTCCCAGACAATACCCATTTCTCTCCTTCTTTACGGGGGAACAGGGATGGTCTTCCGCCTTCCCTCTGACAAATGCCCCCTCAGCCGTCTCTTCATCTCTCCCTACCTTTGGCTTGAGTCGGTACTTTCCTTTCCGTCCAGTCTCCCCAACCCCCCCCCCCCCCCAATGGTCTCTCCCGATGCTCGACTGCGCGAGTTGGGTTGGGGGAGAGGCGGAGCTGAGGGGGGGGGGGGCAGGTCTGCATTGCCGCTTCCCCTGATACCCAGAGCAGCCGCTGCCGCTGCCTCCTCCCAGCGGCCCCGACATCCTCCTCCCTGCTTCATTGCCTCGGGGACCCTTCCCAGGTGAGACCCCCGACTCTTCATCCCTTCCTTCCCGGCTCCCTTCTCTCTCCCTAGCTCCATCCATTCCCGGCATCTTCTTCACTTAGATTGGAGCCATTTTATGCTCCCGTGCCTTTTTTTGAGGGGGGGTCCTCATCCTTCATCAGGAGGTGTTGTGGGGGATAGATACTTTTTCCCACTAGGATTCTCTCTCTCTCTCTCTCTCTCTCTCTCTCTCTCTCTCTCTCTCTCTCTCTCTCTCTCTCTCTCTTTCTCTCCAAGACTCTCCCCTGTCCCCCCCCCCACCTTCGAGATGGGGGGTGTGTGTTGGGGGAATTGTCTGAATTATATCACTACCAGAATCCCCAAGCCCTAAATGTATCCTTCACCTCATCTTTCCTTTCCTAGTCTCTTCTACATCAGGATGGAGGATAAATGACCTTGGCGGGGGGGGGGGGGGGGCGTAGATTATGTCTCCTTTTTCTGGTTTGAGGCATGAGGTAAATAGGTTGGGAGTGGGAAGGGGCTAGATGCTGAAGGGTGAAAATTGAGGGATTCCATTGTACCTGTTAGGAGATTTGGGAGGGTTGAAGGGGCAGATTGTGGGGAGTTTGCATGTGGGGAGGGTGATAAAAAACCTAGAGTAAGACAGTGAGAGGGATTGATATCTGGAGATGTGGGCAATTGATAAAGGCGGGAAATGTTGGGGGGTGATAATGGACATTAATCTAGCATGAAGACTTGGGGGAGGTGGGAGATGGGGAAAGGTGCTTAGAGAAACCAATTGATTAATTTTTGGTGCCCTGTTGCCCTCCAGACCAGGAAAAGTAAGGGGAGGGGACTTGTGAAAAATGCTCTGGTTGAAGGCCTCTGTCCCTGTGTCCTGTTTGTCTGTCTCTGAGTCCTGCCTCTCCATATTCCTTCCCTAGCAGTCTCAGCTGTCACCTCCATTTTATCTTCAGAGCAGTGGCCCTTTCCTAACGCATATGCTTGAAGTGAAATGGGGGGGGTGTAGGGAGGGGGAAGGTATTAGACGTTTTGCCTATCCTTGAGGTGGGAGATGAGATTCTGCTTATCCTTCTGGAAAAAGGGTAGGAGGCTCTAGGGTACCTCCTGTAGCATCTTATCCTCAGGAGGGTGGGGATTTGGATGTATTCAGTTTACCAATGACCTTGTCATTTGTGATGGGAGATGGAGGGAAAGAGACAGATTGTGTTTCATATCTGAGGGCTTTTGAGGTATTGGGGTCCTTCTAAACCCCAAATCTCCCAACCATGGTTAGCTTAAGGACACTGAAAACACCTGATTCCCACCACACACTTGCTCTACAGAATCCATAAGAGAAGTGAATTTAGCTTTTATGGTCTAACGGTGTTTATAACTAGACTGTCTCCATATCACACCCTCCTAGGCTGTCCCTTCTCTCTAGCCCCCTGTCTCTCCCTACACACTTCACTGAGACTGAAGCTAAAAATAGCACTATTTCCTCTAGCCTTAGCCATCTCTTGGAATCTCTAATTCCCCTTCTCCCTCATCTGACTGGTCTGACTCTGTTACCTGGGGAAAGAGGGGAAGGTTGAGCTGCTCCATTGCTCTGGAGACCATCTTCAGTCTCCATATCCCTGGGGCAAATGAAGTGACAACCACAGAGTATGACCTCAGGCTGATCCTGCTTCTTCCTGCAGGACGCTTGGGAGACCCATTTTGGATCAGTTCTTTCTTCTTGCTGAGGGATGAGGAGTGTGTGTGTGTGTGTGTGTGTGTGTGTGTGTGTGTGTGTGTGTGTGTGTGTGTGTGAGATTGTTCACTGCTGCTGGAAAAGATCACAGGAATATAGATTTAGTACTGGAAGGGACCTCAGAAACCATCTAGTCTGACTCTTTCTTTAAATGATGAATTCAGGCCCAGAGAGGTGGTACAAGGTCACACAGGTAAGTAAGTAAGTAAGTAAGTAGCAGAGACAAAATTCAAACCAAGGCCCCTTTGACTCTGAAGCTGGTCCTCTTTCCACTATAGGGATCATTAGTTTTGGTCAAGCTGCTCATGTTTTAGGCAATCAGCCTGGGAGATCTAGGCTCTGATTTCTGCCCTTTATATCACTACTTCCCAATCTCCCATCCAGGGGTGTCCTCAATCTCTCCAGCCCACCCTACAGCTATTTATAAGGGACCTGCTCTGATAAGACCTTACACATACCCCACAGGAACATATGTGTGCACCTACCGTGATCTTTTCCTTGGACCGTTTTTTGGGGGGGAGCCCACGTCCCCCCCTTATTCTGCACCAATCTTTGACGCAATGCAGTATCCCTGAAGTCTTTTCCCCCAACCCCAGGGAGGAGGGACAGAAAAGATTAAGTGGGGATTAGGAGAGGAAGTCCTCAGGAGGGAGAAGGTGGGGAAGGACTCGGAAGAAGACCTAAGACTTCTGAAGTGTGAAGGAGGAGTCAGGAGGTAAGTAAGTTTGAAATGAAGTTGCTCCTGTACACCCCTACAAGAGAAAGAGGATCCAGCTGTTGGTCCCTGGAGGAAAGTACTAGTCACACTTTCCCAGGCCTGCCTCCTATTTAAATCTTGATCTTTTTTCTTCTTTTTTTTTTTTTGGTGAGGTGATTGGGGTTAAATGACTTGCCCAGGGTCACACAGCTGGTAAGTGTTAAGTGTCTGAGGCTGGATTAGAACTCAAGTCCTCCTGACTCCAGAGCTGGTGCTCTATCCGCTGTGCCACCTAGCTGCCCCTGGTCTTTATTCTTCATTTTCTTCCCTTGTGTGATCTGGTCAGGATAGTGAGGCATGAATGGATAGAGAGGGTTGGGCACATCCAGGGGGATCTTGGGGAACTTGGGAAGACACTTAGTCACCCTAGCATGTCTCTACTTCCTTCCCATGACCTACTTCCCTTTTCCTTCATTCCTTTCCCTTCCCTAGCCAATATTTCCTCCCCCTTAGGTTGTGCCCAGAGATGGCCCTCATTTGTTTCAGTTTCTTGTAGAATGTGAATCTTTGCTCTGGCTGGATTGGTCATGTCAATCTCTGTGAGTTCCACCATAGGAGGGGGAGACACTGTGGTGTAGTAGAAAGAGATCTGGCTTTGGAGTCAGAGACCAGAGGATTGAATTTTAGGGCATGATTTAGGCAAGTCACTTAAATGCACTGGGTCTCAGTCTTGTCATCTGTGAAATGAAGGAGTTTGGACTCAATGGTGTCCAAGTTCTATGAGCCCAGGACTTCCTGACCTTGATGGGATTCTATCTGTGACACAGGTGGAGAGGCATGAGGCATATACTACTGTCTAAAACAATGGAAGCATTTCCTTTTGGGGTTTGGGCCACAGAAGTGTGATGATGGGTAGGATGTGGAAACTCCCTGTGCCAAACTTGCCTCACTGAACTCATATCCTGCCTCCTATCAAACACTGAGATGAAGACCAAGTTGACCAGACAACAGGGCTAAATAGACCCTCTAACTATTGCACCAAATAAATAAATAAATACAGGTCATCAAGCTGAAGGAAATTGGACAGCAATGCTAATATGTCTTTGGTTTTTTTCATCTTTCTGTGTCTAGTTCTAGTCTAGTCTGTCTGTGTCTAGTAGGGCAGGTAGAGTTTCTCAGCTTAATGGGAAAGGGGTAGGATAAGCTGATGGAATAGGGTTCTAGACAAACTTTATGTGGAGCCTGGACTTGTTCTCCAAAGCTAAGGTTAAAGGATGCTCATAGGAGGAAAAAGATGACCTCCTGGGTCATCTTTCATCTCTGGTTCAATCATTACTCTGGGACCATTTCTTCATTTTAAAACTTGGTTTGGGCATGATGGGGGTTGGGATGGGAAAGGGACTACTTTGTATATTGATTGGCTTCTGGTTCTCATCCTTTTTTTCTTTTTCTTTTCTATTTTCCAGGACACCAATGTTTCCTGCAGAGACCTGACTGCTCTTCTTTTTCTAGCCTGAACTTTGCAACTCAGCTCCAACCAACCCGATTCTCCTCTCCTTTCCCTTAACCTCTCCCCACGTCCCTACTTTTTCACTATGTTGAACAGGTTGTAGGTTTATGTTTTCTACCAAATATCGTCAAAGCCTCCCTGTCCTACTCCTTACCTCTCTAATGCATGTCCCTTTCTGGTCCTACCTTCTCTTTCATTCTATGCCCAAAGCTCTTTGAATGTACTTTACCTGGGGTAAAGTGCATTTACTGGGGGGTCTTCTAAAATCTAGAGATTTCTTGAGGGACAGGACAGGGAGGGAGAGAAGGCAGAGGGAGGACCCCTGAGGGGTGTCCAAAGACTCCAGTCTGCCATGGATGAAGGCTTCCGTGACCGGACAGCCTTCATCCGTGGAGCTAAAGATATTGCAAAGGAGGTCAAGAAGCATGCAACCAAGAAGGTGGTCAAGGGCCTTGACAGAGTTCAGGATGAATATTCGAGGAGGTCCTATGCCCGATTTGAGGAGGAGGATGATGATGATGACTTCCCTGCCCCAGCTGATGGTTATTACCGTGGGGACGGAGTTAGAGAAGATGAAGAAGAAGGGGGTGCATCCAGTGATGCCACTGAGGGCCATGACGAGGATGAGGAGATCTATGAAGGGGAATATCAGGGAATCCCCAGGGGAGAATCAAGTGGAAAGGGAGAGCATTTGGCAGATGGGGCTCCCCTGGCTGGGGTGAGGGGAGGCTTGGGCGATGGAGAAGGCCCTGGAATTGGAGGGGAAGCTCAGCGGCGGAAGGAGAGGGAAGAGCTAGCCCAGCAGTATGAAACCATCTTGCGGGAGTGTGGCCATGGCCGGTTCCAGTGGACCCTCTATTTTGTCCTGGGTCTGGCACTTATGGCTGATGGGGTCGAAATCTTCGTGGTGGGGTTTGTGCTGCCCAGTGCTGAAAAGGACATGTGCCTGTCTGACTCCAACAAGGGCATGCTGGGTGAGAAACCAAAGTCTTTCCTATTCCTTTTCTACCTCTCACCCCTTATCTCCTAGGTAGTTCCCTATTTCATTTCTACTCTGGCCATAGGAACTCTACTGGGCACTAAGTGACCCCTCAAAGTATCTCCTAAGGACAATAGGATCTTTGTCCAGGTCCTTTTCCCAGTTCCCAACTAAAGTTTGGGAACCTTGTGGTCCTCCCCTAAGGAGTTGGACCATGGCTTGTAGAATAGGAGAAAGAGAATCTGTGGCCTACTCAACTCCTGGTCTTGGGATTATGGAATTGTAATGAGCTTGATTATGTTTTCCTCTCATGACTTCTCACTCCCCTTAGGAGGTGGGCCAGGGTCAAGGGAAAGGGTTTATTTTCATGGAATTTAATCTTTGTCACCATGGGAGCCACTCTCTGTTCATCTAGGCTTCCTTTGTGCCCTGCTGGGAGAGGCCTTATTCCTTTCCTTTGGTGGGTAGGGAATGGAAACTGAGAGGTCAGAATCTCAGTTCTTTTGCTTGGATAGGAGAGAGGGACAATTTGACCTTACCTCCAGCTCTCAGTTCCAGATGGGAATGTGTGGGTGAGGACCCGTGAAATTTCTGAGCCTAAAGCTGAGAAAGCTGTACTCCATTGACACTGGAGTAGCCCCTGGTAGTGTCCAAATTGCCAACAGTCCCAGGACAAAAGATTGGGGCACAGGAGGTTTCTTCTGGCCTCTTCCTAGAGGAGGTGATGGAGAGAGCTCCACAGACTGTGAAAGGGAAGAGGTTATAAAAGAAGAGAGGGGTTGAGATTGGTGTTGGAAGAAATAAAGGTTAGATCTAATGGGGGAGGTGGGGATTTCCCGACTAAAAGATTTATTAATTGGAGATGAGTTGTCTCCTTCACCAAAGAACACAAAAGAGATCTCTAGCTGAAGCCAATGGGGGGGGGGTTGGGGGGGGAAGTGATTTGGCTTTGAGAGGGTCCTGGGGAGAGGGGCCTTAGAGTGGATCAGATCTCACTCTTTTATTCCCATATCTGTTTATTTCCATATCCAGAGCCCCATTATGTTTTAATTTAGGGGTTCTTCTCTCTGTTTTTGCCATGTTGCCCTGTCTACTTCCTTGCCAAATGGGGCCCAAACACCCTAGTCTTATTTCCTAACCCTGGATCTAGTTAAGCAGTCAGATGGTTTTTCTCAGGTTTAACCTTGATCCATCCTGCTGTAATTTCACCTCATTTTGTATTCATTTGACTGGAAGAGGCATGACTGCCCTTTTCATCCTTTCCCTTCCATGTTTCTCCTTCCAGGCCTCATTGTCTACCTGGGTATGATGGTTGGAGCTTTTCTCTGGGGAGGTCTGGCTGACAGATTGGGTCGGCGACAATGTCTGCTCATCTCACTCTCCGTCAACAGCGTCTTCGCATTCTTTTCATCCTTCGTCCAGGGCTATGGCACATTCCTCCTCTGCCGCCTGCTCTCTGGGGTTGGGTGAGCACCTACTCCAAAGATTCCTTTCTTCCCTTTCCTATCCCAACCCCAAGTATTCCCCAAATTCAGCTACAACTTCTGTTTCCATTCCCAGATGTACTCTCCCATTTTAATGTCCTCAGTTTCCTCAGAAATGCCTTCATGAGGATCTTCTGGTGGAAGCCACCCTAAACCCTATGTTTATATAGCACCCAGAAGCTTTCTCATTTCCCCAGATTCCTAATTTTCCAGACAATATGGAACCTATTCAAACCCTAGATCTTCCCATCCTGTTGGTATTTCCAGTGTCTCTCTAAATTCCCCTCATTTCTGTAACCAACATTGCCCTGTATCTGCCCTACTCTGTATCTAAGACCTTTTGTTGACCTTCCCCTTGGAATTCTCTTTTCAATTTCTCCTCCCAGGACTTTCTCCTTTTCTTTAACTGTCATGATCTCCTCAACCCTCTTCCTAATCTTTGAGACCTCTCCTTTCTTATAGAACACTTCATCTTAGAAGCTTGCCTCCTGCCACAGCTTACTTTTCAAGAAAGAGAAGAGTTAGGGAGTGGGTTTGGTGGTCAGGGAATGATTGGAAAGGCTAGTTCCTCTGGTGAGAGGAATCCGGATCTGGGGCATGGTGGCGATGGTGGGTGGTGGGATGGGGATCTGATTCCTGATCTACTCTTTAGCAACCTCTTCCCTGGAATTCCCTACAGGATTGGGGGATCTATCCCTATTGTCTTCTCCTATTTCTCTGAGTTCCTGGCCCAAGAGAAGAGAGGGGAACATTTGAGTTGGCTTTGCATGTTCTGGATGATTGGTGGTGTGTATGCAGCTGCCATGGCCTGGGCCATCATTCCTCACTATGGTAAGAGCCCTCCAAGGGAACTTCCCCCTCCTGAAGATACCCTTTAGGTTCCTCTCCCTGAGGTAGGAATTCCCCTTAATCTGGCATGGTTGGAACCTTCATTCCCAACTAGAGTGAAAGCCCTAGAATTTCCCCCCTCCAAAATAGGTATTCCTCCAGGGTGGAGCTTCTAAATGACCTTCTTTCTGGTTTCTAGTGGGGTTCCTTCACCTTTTTTTTTTCCAGGCTGGAGTTTCCAGATGGGCTCTGCTTACCAGTTCCATAGCTGGAGGGTTTTTGTTCTTGTGTGTGCCTTTCCTTCTGTATTTGCCATTGGGGCCCTGACCACACAGCCAGAGAGCCCCCGATTTTTCCTGGAGGTAAAGGGTGATGGAAATTGGGAGGGAAAACCTTTTGCTTTGGGATTTCTAGCTGCTTAGTTTTTACCATTTATCTGGCTGATTTTTGACTTCCCTTCGAGGTTTTTATGACTTCTCTCTGGTTCAGTTTGATCCTGGGTCTCTGTTTTGGCTCTCTCCCTTTCACCGACTGCTTTTGCTCTGTGGAGTGGGATTTTGCCTCCTGCCTTTGCTCTTTGTGGCATTTTGGGTATGGTATAGGACCCTTCAATGTCATCCATGGCTTAATATGTTCCATATGTTGTTCCATGCACCCACTTGGAAATGATGGTCAGGACAATTTCTTCAGGGGGCCTGTAGTTCAAGAACCTTGAGTTCAGTGGTTTTCTGGTATGGTTCTGCCTCCCTTGCCATATCATTCCTCCTACCAAGGATCCTTTGGTCTGGACATCAAGAACTCTTGAGTCAGGACCTAGGTTCAGATCCCAACTTTGACACCTTATTACCTGGGTAGCTTTGGGCACATTATTTAACTCCCTCGTACTCAGTTGCTCATCTATATGTAGCAGTTGTGTCGGGTAGGTCCTATTGTGGTGATGGGGAGAGGACTAGTTCCAGTATTCCCTCTTTCATGCCCCTGCCCTCTTGTTAGTAGTAATACGTTTACCTTTTTTCCCCTCAGTGCCTCTCTTCAGGCTGACTTTGTCTTTAGTCAAATCCCTCAGCTCCACCCCTCAGGGGGCGTGGCTTTCCTTTTAACACCCAGAGGAGAGGACAGTGGGAAGAATTTACTTCTTTGAGACAGCTACTTTAGCAATACTAGCTCCCAGCTTATTCACAGCCTTTTTCTGTGAAAAAGACTGCGACATTTGTGCCTTTTTTCCCCCCCATGTTACTTAGGACTTATTTGCAAAGATGAATCAATAATTCCTTTTTTCCTCTCCAAGTCTTCACATGAGGAAGGTCCCAGCAGTTGTAAAATCTCTCTCTATTCTGTGTATCTTGCCACTTACTTTCTCTAATGGAACATATAGATCAGATATACAATGGTTAACCTCTTTATCTTAAAGAAAACAGTTTCTTTAACCAACAATAGTGAACCAAAAGCACCCATAAGAAACAAAGGTTGATAACACAGCCTCTTCATCTGAGAGAGACACCTAAGGGGTTGCAATGGATGTAGCTATGGGCTTGGAGTCAGGAAGACTTGAGTTTAACTCCTGCTTTAGACATTTATCAGCTGTGTTACCCTGGACAAGTCACTTAACAACTCTCTGCCTCAGTTTCCCCAATTGTAAAATGGGGTAATAATATCATCTACCTCTCAGGGTTGTTGTGAGGCTCAAATAAGATAATATTTGTATTAGCGTTGTATCTGGCACATAGTACGTGCTTAATAAATACTTATTTCCTTTCTTCCTGAGAGAGCTAATAAGTGAACAGAAGCAAAAGACAGGAAGGTGAGGCACTGCTGTCTAATTTCATTCTTAGCAGTATAAATAAACAGTTCAGGCCACTTGCTGTCTCTGCCTTCTCGGGTTTTTCTTCCTTCTCTTAGAATCTCAGGTTTTATTCCTCTGTCACTGTACTCATGTCAACCCCATATCAGGCCCCCAACTTGCTTATGCTAGCCTCCTTCCTTCCTCTCCTTCCACACTTTCTTGAGGAGATGGTTAACAGTCACAGAGAGAGTCCCAAGGACTCCCCAGAGAGAAGAACATTGGGGAGTTTTCTACCTTCTAGAGGCCATTGTCCTCCAATGTCCTGTTATGATCAAAGTGAGGAGAAGGTTGGGTTAGGTAACCTTTGAGGTTCCTGTCAGTTTTAAGTCTGTGATCCCATGACCTCCTTACCTCCTTGGTCCAACTAAATGGCTTTCATCATTTTCCTTATCCCCAAATCTCTCCCTTCCTTGCTATGAGGTCACCAACTAAGAATCTCTCCTTGGGTTGTTCCTCTGTTGCTCTCCACCCCAAAACCCATCTGGATCCTATTGAGCTGGGCAAGAGTACAGTGGTGGAAGGAATCCTGGAAAGGGAGTCGGGAAGCCTGAATTCTAGTCCCGGACCTCATGCTCACTAACTCAGTGTGTGTGTGTGACCATGATGAGGTTATTTCATGGGTTCCAGATGCTTCCCCTGTTAAATGATGGGGTTGGACAAGATATCTAAGGTCCTTTTCAGCTCTCGACCTCTGAGCCTATAGTATTCCTGGGAAATTCAGAAAGTGTGATTTGTGTATGTATTGAGGGTAGGGGTGGTAGTGGGGTTAGGTTGGTGGTGTGTCTCTGAGATGTCATAGACCGTAGATTTAGAGCTGGAAGGGACCTTGAATGTTCTGTACTCCAATCTTCTCATTTTACAGAAGAAACTGAGGATCAGAGAATTGAAATGACTTGCACAAGATCACACAGCTAGTCATTGGCAGAGCCTGTTATTTGCACCCATGCCCTTTAGGTGGGAGATAAATGTCTAAAACTATCAGAACAGGAGCCAGCCTGGTCTGGGTGTGAGTGAGGGCTGGGGGTTGGGTGGGAGAAAGGATGGAATTGGACTTGAGAGAAGCAGCTGTGATCCAAGAAAGCTGGGAGGTTTAAACCTGCATCTATGTCTGGGGCTGCAGAATGGGAAACATGATGAAGCCTGGATGGTCCTGAAGCAAGTCCATGACACCAACATGAGAGCGAAGGGGCATCCCGAGAGAGTGTTCTCGGTAAGTCACTTCCTACCCATCCTCAGTAGGATTGCTTCTCCTCTGGGATCTCTACAGACTCAGATACTGAAAGTGTTCTGAATGAATAACCTACCCCTTCCAATGACGCTCTTTGCTCAATTCCTCCTTCACATAGGTTGTCACCTGGCTATTCCCTACCCTAAACCTCCCCACAATCCTCTCCATGCTCTAAGGAGCTATCTCATATTGAGTCAGATTTTTCTCTGTCTCTCCCTGTCTCTGTCTCTGTCTGTCTCTGTCTCTCTGTCTCTATCTCCCTCCATCATATCTAACTTACCTCCATGACCCATGACTTCCTAGTTTACTACCGGAATGGAACTCATGAGGCTGGGTGATGCCAAGTGACCCCATGTCCCTTGTGTGATTGCTGGACCTTTTCACTTCTCTGCAGGTGACCCACATTAAGACCATCCGTCAGGAGGATGAGTTGATTGAGATTCAGTCAGACACAGGGACCTGGTACCAGCGCTGGGGGGTCCGGGCAATGAGCCTGGGGGGCCAGGTAATAGGGGGATTTTGCAGGGGAGGACAGGTATCTGGTTAGATAGGAGAAAAGAATGGGGATTGAGCCTGGGGAACTCATAGATTAGAGGCTGGGAGGAGGTGACTGTATCTGCATAGGGGTGGTGCTTCGAGTTCCACATCCTCCTCCCCTTGACCATCTGCCCCTACTTCTAGGTTTGGGGGAATTTCCTTTCCTGTTTCAGCCCTGAATATCGGCGTATCACCCTGATGATGATGGGCGTGTGGTTCACCATGTCATTTAGGTGAGGGGCTGCTGGGGTTGAATAGGTATATGTGTCTGTTGGGGTAGAGGCAGAGGGAAGAGCAGAGGAAGAGCTGAAAGTTAGTCAGCAAACATTTAAAAATGCTTCCTATGTGCCAGGAACTCTGCTAAGCACTGGGGAGCCAATGAAAGGCAAATTCAGTCCCTGCCCTCAAGGAGGAAGGAAGGAAGGATAGGAGGAAGGAAACAAGCATTTACGGTGTTTATGTTGTGCCAGGCACAGTGCTAGGAGCTCACATTTTAGGGGAGAAGATAACTGATATAAATAACTAGGCAGCTAGTTGGTATAGTGTATTGGTGTCAGAAAGACCCAGTTCAAATCCTGCCTCAGATACTTACTAGCTTTGTGATCCTGGGTAAGTCATTTAACTTCTGTACCTCATCTGTTTCCTTACCTGTAAAATGAGGGGGCTTGGCCTCTAAATTTTCTTCCAGCCCCAAATCCATGATCCTAAGATAAGTATAGAGTAGGAGAAAGGTAATCTCAGAGGGAAAGGCATTAGCTTCAGGGTAGACCTGGAAAGCCCTCTGGAAGAAGTGATATTTGATCTGAGTCTTGCAGGAAGCCAGGGATTGTAAGAGGAAGAGGTGAGGAGGGAGCAGAGCACATTCAGGTCTTTTTTGGGGTGGGGTGGGGTGGGGTAGCCAGTACAAAGAGATAGAGATGGGATGTGGGTGGAGGTGTTGCTCTGGCACTCTCTGACCATTGTGTGTTCGGGCCCATTCATGGGGTGATGCCTTTCCTTAGTCACTACTGACTTGGGGATTATGATTGATCTCTTACCTTTCACTTCATCCCCACACTCTCTTCCTTAGCTACTATGGCTTAACCGTCTGGTTCCCGGACATGATCCGTCACCTCCAGGCAGTTGACTATGCTGCCCGAACCAGGCTCTTTGCAGGAGAGCGAGTGGAACACGTGACCTTCAACTTCACCCTGGAGAACCAGATTCACCGTGGGGGCCAGTACTTCAATGACAAGTACGTGAGGACTTTTCCCATCCCCTCTCTTAAAAACCCTCTCTGCTCCCAGCCAAGGAATCTCCAAGCAGGCAGCAGGGCTCAGTCTCTAGGAATTCTAGACGAGAAGGCTCCTGTGTCAGACATCTCTGGGTTCTTCTCTTCCACGATCACTGAAGGGCACAGGTTGGGGTGGACAGGAGTGTGTGTGTGTGTGGGGCTGAATAAGAGGGAGGGCTGCAGAGAAAAATGCCTCTTCTTTCTCCTCTTTCTCCCTTTAATAATAATAATAAAAATAGCATTTATAATATAGTACCTTAAAGTTTGCAAAACAATTTCTAAGTTATTGCTCTTGAACCTTACAGCAATCTTGTGATGTAGGTGGTTCTATTATCATCATATTAAAGGTGAGGAAATTGAGGCTTAGGGGCTCTGACTTGTGTGGTTCTCCTCCCCCCTTCCTGGCCCTTCCAGGTTCATTGGCCTGAGACTGAAGTCGGTGTCTTTTGAGGACTCACTGTTTGAAGAATGTTATTTTGAAGATGTCACGTCCAGTAACACATTCTTTCGGAACTGCACGTTTATCAACACGATATTCTACAACACAGGTACCAGTGTTTTGCTTGGGGAAAAAGCAAGATGGGCAATGTTGAGAGAAGGGGGGCAGGATGGATCTTCTGCCATTCCAGACCACTGATCCACACAATTCGCACACTGCTTTCTGCCCTTCACACACACACACACACATACACACACACACACACACACACACACACACACACACACACACACTTTCTCCCCAACCCCTTGTTTTCTTTTTCTGTTCTCCAGACCTGTTTGAGTACAAGTTTGTAGGCAGCCGGCTGATCAATAGCACGTTCTTGCACAGCAAGGAGGGGTGCCCCCTGGATGTGGCTGGGACAGGTGAAGGTGCCTACATGGTTTACTTCGTCAGCTTTCTGGGGACGCTAGCTGTGCTCCCTGGGAACATCGTGTCAGCCTTGCTCATGGACAAGATTGGCCGGCTTCGAATGTTGGGTAATTGGGGAGCAAATGGGAGAGGTGGGAAGAAAATAGTCTTGACAGCTGAGTAATTAGGGCAGGACAATGGGGCTTTGGCCCAGGGCATTGAGATTTAGAGCATCATTGGTGGCACATTCAACCCTTGGCTGTGTAGAAACAACTGACTTTAGCACTTAGTTAGCAGGAGTAATTAGCTAAAATAGGAAATTACTAGTGTGCCTCTTCTGCCCCTTCCACTCCCTGACTCCCCAACTCGGCTTGTCCATTGTATGACCTCCCTAGAAGCATCCTGGAGTGTCCTAGGGTTTCTGCCTTCTTACCACCCCCCACCCCCCAAATGGAATGAGTCATAACATTTTTATTTGAGAACACTGATTCCTGCTCCTTTCCCTGGCTCATTTTATGCTTGGCTTCATAATTGACCTGGGTGCCGAAACTTCTAGTTCTCTCTGCTTGATATCACTTCCTAGTCAACAAATATTTGGTGAGAACCTGTTATGTGTGGGGCATTGTGCTAGGCAATCTGTGTCCTGTGAAAGAACTCAAAGAAGTGGGGGGGTCTGGGACAGAAATCTCTGGCAGGAGGTAAAAGTAATCAGGAAGACAAGGAGCAGAATACTCTGTGATGTTGTGAAGCATGCCCTGGTCAGGCCAAGTGATTGGTTAGTTGATTCCGAGCTGTACGTAGGCGTAGAAAAGGGTGGCTGGCTCATGACACCTATGACTCTCTGCCAACTTTGATGCCCAGCTCTCCTCTATTCCCCAACCCAGCGGGCTCCAGTGTGATGTCATGCATCTCCTGCTTCTTCCTGTCCTTTGGGAACAGTGAGTCTGCCATGATTGCTCTACTCTGCCTCTTCGGCGGGGTCAGCATCGCGTCTTGGAACGCGCTGGATGTGCTGACCGTTGAGCTCTACCCTTCAGATAAGAGGTACCCAAGTCTGGGAGCTGGGAGCAACAGAGGGAATGGAGGGACCGAGGGGCTGGAGGTGGAGAGATTGTGCGGGTGGGGAGCTGAACGGAGGAAAATCACTGTTCCTTCCAACGAGCAAGATGCACTGACCTAGAACCTTTCTCATGTTGCTTCTGTTCTCCCTACTCCCAGGATTTCCATGGCCAGCTTTGTTACGGTGTCTTCTTTCTTTCCCTCTTTCTACTTCCCACTCCCATTTATAACCTCCATCTTCCTGTAAACCCCACATCCCTCATCAAATATTTCCTGCCCTTCTCTCTCTCCCCCATGTTATGTCCTTGAGTTCTTTCTGCTGCTTCATCATTAACATCACTGTCTGCTTGCCTTTCCTCCACAAATCTCACCATACCTCTCTTTACATCCTGCCCTGCTCCCATGTTCCCCATTACATCTCCTTTTGACCCTTCTCTCCCTGCCTTGCAGGACCACTGCCTTTGGCTTCCTGAATGCTCTGTGCAAACTGGCTGCTGTGCTCGGGATCAGCATCTTCACCTCTTTTGTGGGGGTCACGAAGGCTGCCCCCATCCTCTTTGCCTCGGCTGCTCTCGCCCTCGGCAGTTCCCTTGCCCTAAAACTTCCAGAGACGCGGGGGCAGGTGCTGCAGTGAGGGAGAGTTGGAGGACATGGGGGCAGTGCACTGTGAGACCAACAGCTCCTTCATCCCCACCCACCTCCATCTGGCCCCAAGAACCCCCTATTACCCTTCTAGCCCTCTTTGTGTTTGATGTCTTAGCTGTGTGTGTGTTTGTATGTGTGTGTGTGTGTGCACGTGTGTGCATGTGTATGTATGTGTGGTCCTCATGGGGCAGGGGCTACGGAGGAGAAAGCTCTTTTCCCTCCCTACCTCCAACTGTCCTTAATGTCCAGAAGATTCTCCCTTTTCCCCTGATGTTACGGTTAAGGCTCTTACCCCTACTTCAGGGCTTTCAGACAAGGCCCTCATTCAGCCTGTACTAACCTTAGTTCTTTCCCAGAGCTAAGATCCAGGAGAAGGGGGCTGGGGCAGGGTGGGGATGAGGTCTCTCTTTTCGCCTTGGCTCTTCTGTATGTTTTTCAGGGGTGAAGGGAGTAAAGAGTACAAAGACCAGGGGTCTGAAGATGAGGTACAGGATTTTGGGCAGAGAGAACTACTGAAATGAAGGGTCACAGGATACCCTCCTATACCTCCCTGTGGATGCTGGTAGGGGTAGCAATAATCCTTAGCCCCCTGGGCTTCCCCTTTTTGTCCCGCGATTTGGGTTGCAAGTTTGAATCCCGAGTTTCATAAAGTTTGATTTTTTATTTTTATTTCTTTATATTCAGTTCTGAGGCAGCTCAGCAGGTGTGTGTGTATGTGTGTGTGTGTGTGTGTGTGTGTGTGTGTGTGTGTGGTGTATTGTGTGTATGTAGTGGGGAGGGAGATGTTGCTGTATTGTCTTGAAATTTAAGCTAAGGGTAATTTTAACAGATATACATGACTGTGGCCTCACCAACACAGTTCCCCACTTGTCTTTCCTGGGTCAAGCCTAGGAAGTGGAACCTCTAGGCTGGGTGGGCAAAAGAAACACCTAGACTTGGGGACAACTCTAGGTTAACCATGATCTAAGCACAGTGTCCCCTCCCTTTTCCCCTAGAGAAGCACAGGCTGCCCTGCCTACTATAGCACAGAGAGAACAGCACAGGCACCCGCTCTTTCCAAAGGGGCCCCATTCTAGGAGTCATGGGGAGGCCGAAGAGACCAGCAGATAGATCTAAAAGCACAAGGATCCCGGAGTGGGAAGACAGGGTCCCTTTCCCTGAGCCCCTCTAGCCAGGCTGGGAGCTCTGGGGAGGTTCCAGCCCCAGCCCAGGAGCCTCAGCTCCCCCATATAATCTCTTCCCCATGAAATGGCCCCTGCCATTTAAACTGTAGCTGTTCCTTACCCTGTGTGACTGGTCTTTCTCTGGTGCCCCCCACTGTAGTTGTGATGTATTGTAGTTTTTAGCTGTTTGTAAAATGTAAAAGAAAAATAAATTAAATTAAATTTAAAAAAAAACAGGAAAAAAGGGGAAAAGTATGAAAAACGAAAAGTAAAACCCAAATTCCCCCTCTTCCCATATTGCGTCCGGCCCCCCTAACCTTGTGGTCACTCCCCTCATTTTGTAACACTGACCAGGTGGTGACTGTTGAACTCTTTGTGTCTGTGCTCAGACCACCCTTTCCCTTCTGGTGCCATGTGTTATGAGCCACAGCTGTGTCACCCCATCGTGCCGGACGCGACTCCTTCTCTGCCACCCCAGGAGGGGCCGTCCATCTTCCCACCCTCCTGGGAATGCCCTTCCTCTCCAGTCGATGTGAAAAAATGAAATGAAGAGAAAAATAAAATTTTAAAAAATCCTTAGAACTGAAAGTGCTGTCCATTTATTTCTTCCATCCAAGTCCATGTCTGTTGGTCCTCCTGCCTGTTTTGTCTGTCGGGGGGGGGGGATGGAATTAAAAATGGATTTTTCCATATTTTTCTTGGGACTGTTCCATGACAGTGGATGATCCCCATATTCCCCTACACTCAGCTGGAAGCTTTAGAATACCTTTCAAGTATAACATTCTGATGAGAAATTCTGTTTTTCCTTCATTTACACTATCTCTTAAATTCTTCCCTTTCTATTCTAAATGGCCAGAACCTCAGTCCAAGCCTTCCTTTCTCCTAGATTTTGACTATAATTTCCTAACAGATCTCCTGCCCTTCAATCTATTCTACATATGTTTTATAAGCCTTATTCTCTCTCCCTTCTTCCCGAATTGGCTTTTTGCTGAAAAGGATTGAGGAGAACCGCGGTTTCCCTCAAAGCTTAACTCAAATGTCACCTTTTATAAGAGCTGAACCCCAGCTGCCAGTGCCTTCCTCTCATCCAAATTCCCTTGTATTTATTTATATATCTTTATATATAAATGCATGTTCTCTACAACATAAGGTCCTTCATGAAGGGACAGGTAGTTTCATTTTTGACTTTGTCTCTTTAAGAGGTTAGCAGTGTAAGTACTTACTATGTTTGTCCATTGGCATAAATTCCTTAGCTCAGCACTCAAGGCTTTCTACAGTTCCGACAATCATTTTCCAATTTCCCTATTTACTACTGTGGTATAATGGCAAGAAAACCGTATTTGGCATGGGAACATCTAGGTTTGCATCTAGAGCACTGGCACTTATGACCTATGTGAAATTAGGCAAGTTAATTAACTCTTTACCTCAGAATCACTTAGATCAGAGGTTCCCGAACTTATTTGGCCTACCACCCCCTTTAAAAAAAATTACTCAGAGCCCCCCTGGAAATAGACTTCCTTTAACAGTTTTTTAAAAATTTGAGTCATTTCAAAAAAAACATTTTAAAAAAATTATGCATCTTAATTTTAATAATTTATTTTAAATTTGTGGGGTTTTTCTTGCATTGAAATTTTGATGACAATATTTCATCATGTGTCATACATGAATCATACAGTATCATACTGTAAACAAGTCATTACACATATATATATTTCTGCCTATGCAAAATGGACTTTTCCACCATGTGTGACATGCTTGCCTGACAACATTTGCTTGTTAAGACCTGTCAGCTGACTTGACCACTGATGGGTAATAACTTGCATTTTGTGTGTTTATTTGGAAAATAATGTAATCACTACCACTTTAACTCTGTTACACAATAGATGAAACATATATGAAGATTTTTTCAAAATTTTCTTCTCTTCTCTTCTTTCCTTATGCTTCCACTGCCCCCTTACTTTTATTCAATGCCCCCCAGTTGCACCTGAGGCTACTACTGTTCCCCCATCTTTCCAGCGCCCCCTGTGGGGGCAATGCCCCCCATTTCCCACTTTGGGCAAATACCCTAATTTTTTATTAATTAATTTATTTTGACTTATCAGCAATCATTTCCATAAGCTTTTGAGTTTAAAATTTTTCTCCTCCTCCCCCCCACCTTCCCCAAGATGGTGTGCAATCTGATATAGGTTATACATATACATTCCTATTAATTTTCACATTAGTCATGTTGTAAGGAAGAATTAGAGCCAATAGAAGAAACCACAAGAAAGAGGAAACAAAACAAAACAGAAGAAAAAAAAAGAGCACATAGTATGCTTCGATCTGCATTCAAAATCCATGGTTCTTCCTTTGGATGTGGACAGCACTTTCCATCATGAGACTTTCGGAGATATCTTAGATCCTTGCATTGCTGAGAGGGGCTAAGTCTATCAAAGTTAGTCATCACACAACATGGCTGTTACTTGGAACACCCTAATTTTACAAATGAGGAAATAATGGTTCTCCCAGCTCTAAATCTATAATCTAGTTTGTCATATTCTGTTGTTACTCCCAAGTATGCCCATTTGTTGTTACTCCTAATTATGACCCAGCTCGTCTCAGCTTCTCCAAGAACACTTAATTGGCTTCTAGCCAATTGGTGATCATGTGACCCTCTGAACAAGTCACAGTGTTGTACCAATTAGCACCTAGTAGGTGCTCACCGTGCGTCAGATACTTCAGAGACAAAGACAAAAATGGAAGTTACTACCCTCAAGTATCTTACATCTATTCTCTCTCTCTCTCTCTCTCTCTCTCTCTCTCTCTCTCTCTCTCTCTCTCTCTCTCTCTCTCTCATTCTCTCCCTCTTTCTATCTTAGAGATCAGCTAGGACACCCTCTTGATGGTAAAATACTCAAAATGGATCTAGGATCTCGTTGACTTGGAAGCTCTTTCCAATGATGGGGACCTCAGCCCATCCATGTCTTCTTTTCCTGAACTCAAATCAAACTCTTCTCTCAAAAGTTACCAAGGATCTCTTAACTGCTAAATCTAATGGTTTCTTATCAGTCTTCATCCCACTTTATCTCTGCAGTCTTTGACACTGTCAATCACCTTCTTCTCGAGGATTTTTATAACACTATTTCTCTCCTGGTTCTCTCCCAATTGTTTAACTGATCTTTCTTGGCTTCCTTTGCTGGACTTTCATCCAGGTTGCACCTGGATGTCCCCCAAGACTCTGTCCTGGGCACTCTTTTCTACTCACCCTATACTATTTCCCTTGGTGATTTTATCTACTCCCTTTATATGTATTATTCTCATGTCTATTTATCCAGCTCTAATCTGTCTTCTGACTTCCATTCTCGAATCCCTAATTGCCTATTGAATATCTTGAACTGGATATTCCATAGACATCCTAATTCAACATGACCCCATTCATTGATCTTTTCCCCCAAATCCTCTCCTCGTCCTAACTTCCCTATTACTGTTGAGGACATCCTCCTCCTCCTAATTGTTCAGGATGTCATCATCGACTTTTTACTCTCACACCCCATATGCAATCTGCCTGTTAAGTCTTGCTGATTCTACCTTTGTAATACCTTTCCCCTACTCTTCTTGATACCATTACTGCCCTGGTGCAGGACTTCATGTCTGCAATAGGGAGCAAATAAGGCCTTCCTGCCTCATTTCTCCTGTGCCACACACAGCACAGCGATGCTCCTGAAATGTGGCTCTGACCATGATACCACACTATCTAATAAACTGCAGTGGCTCTGTATTGCAAACAAGACCAAGCATAAAATTCCCTGTTTGGCTTTTTAAAAATAATTAATTTATTTTTAGTTTTCAACACTTACTTTCATAAGATTTTGAGTTTTAAAATTTTCTCCCCCTTCTCCTCCCCCATTCCCAAGATGGCATGCAATCTGATATAGACTCCACTTATACATTCATTTTAAGTGTATTTTCACATTTATCATGATGTAAAGAAGAATTAGAACTAATGGGAGGAACCACGAGAATGAAAAAACAACAAAAAAAAGAGAGCAAATAGTATGCTTCAATATGCATTCAGATTCTATAGTTCTTTTTCTGGATGTGGATAGCATTTTCCATTGTGAGTCTTTTGGAGTTGTCTTAGATCCCTGCATTGCTGAGAAGAGCTAAGTCTATCAAAGTCAGTCATCACACAATTTGGCTGGTATTGTGTACAATGTCCTCCTACTTCTGCTCATGTCATTCAGCAACAATTCACATAAGTCTTTCCAGGTTTTTCTGAAGTCTGCCTGTTCATCATTTCTTATAGCACCATAGTATTCTATCACATTTATATGCTACAACTTGTTCACTCATTCCCCAGCTGATGAGCATCCCCTCAATTTCCAATTCTTGGCCACCACAAAAAAGAGCTGCTATAAATATTTTTGTACATGTGGGTCATTTTTCCTTTTTTATGATCTCTTTGAGATACAGACCTAGAGGTGGTATTGCTGGGCCAAAGGGTATACACAGTTGTATAGCTCTTTGGGTATAGTTCCAAATTACTTTCTAGAAAGATTGGATAATTTCACAACTCCACCAACAATGCATTAGTGTCCCAATTTTCCCACATCTTCTCCATTTATCATTTTCCTGTTTTGTCATGTCAGCCAATCTGACAGTTGTGCTGTGGTACCTTAGAGTTGTTTTGATTTGCATTTCTCTAATCAATAGTGACAGATCATTTTTTTACGTGACTATAGATGGCTTTCTTTCTCTGAAAACTACCTGTTCATATCCTTTGACCATTTATCAACTGGGGAATGACTTGTATTCTATCAATTTGACTCAGTTCTCTCTGTATTTTAGAAATAAGGCCTTTATCAGAGGCACTAGCTGTAAATTAATTTAGGTAGAATTGTCATTTTTATTATATTAGCTCGGCCTAACCATGAACAACTGACGTTTTTCCAATTATTTAGATCTGACTTTATTTGTGTGAGAAGAGTTTTGTAATTGTGTTCATACAGTTCCCGAGTTTGTTTTGGCAGGCAGACTCCCAAATATTTTATAATGTCTACAGTAACTTAAGCTTTTAAAGCCCTTTATATAAACTGGCCCCTGCCTACCTTTCCAGCCTTCTTCTACCCTATATCCCTCCACTCCAGTGACACTGGCTTCCTTGCTATTCTTGGAACAAGACACCCATCTCTAGACTCCTTGCATTTTTACTGGCTATCTCCCCATCTCTGGAATGCTCTCCCTTCTCACCTCCTGGCTTCCTTCAAGTCTCAACTAAAATCCTACCTTCTGTAAGAAATCTTTCTTAGTCCTCCTTAACGTTAGCATCTTGCCTCTGAAACTATCTTTTTCCTGCGTATATCTTATTTGTACATAGTAATTTGCACATTGTCTCTCCCATTAGCTTGTGATCTCCCTGAGGACAAGGACTATTTTTGGCCTTTCTTTCTATACCCAGCATTTAGCAAAGTGATAACAACTAGCATTTATATCATGCCTACTGTGTGCCAGGCATCATGCTCAGTGTTTGACAAATACCATCCCATTTAATGCTCACAACAAGGGAGGTGAGAGGGAGGTGCTATTATTATCTCTACTTTAATAGAGATATTTTAACTCTATTCAGTTAAGGAAACTGAAGAAGACAGAGGTTAAGTGACTTGCCCAAGGTCACACAGATCTGAAATTAAGTCTTCTTGATTCCAGTCCACTGCTCTATTCACATGCACTACCTGATTGCTAGTGCCTGGCACAGAATAGGTACTTAAGAAATGCTTGTTGACTTGACGTGATCTCCGTAACCACTCATTTTACTTCCGTGAACCTGTTCTGTCTGTAAAATGGGTATAATGTAGAGTGTGCTTACTTTATAGGGTTATTATGAGGCTCAAAATCTATACATAAAATACTTTGTATGCCAGTGCAAGCCGTCATGGCTTGGTATCAGTACCAAGACATCACCTTGGTGTTGCCCCACAGCAGGGGTTCAGATGAATCAATCAGGGGTGCAACGAGAGCTTCAGTGCCCTCCCCCTGGGCCACAGGGATAAAGTCCCACTTCGTTGTCTTTAGTGTGCCTACACAGTTTCGCAATCACAAAGACACTGTCAGACACAATCACACTTTTATTTTGGGAGGGCAGGCCCCAGTAAAGGTCAGTCACTCTCTCCTCCCACAAATCTAGAATACATGTGTTCTCTTCTCTTCTCCGAGGTTTCAGGAGACACCACGGAAATCTCTCTTACTCCCACCCAGGCAGGCGGGGCTGACATCTAGGTTGGGGTTATCTCTCCACTGGGCAGGGGTCCGAGCTTGGATGGCCAGCGCATGGACGGGCCCTGCAAGTTCTTCGGCCAGGGCGGCATGGACCAATCGGTGGCGCTGCAGAGGGCTTAGCCCTTCGAAGCGGGAGCTCACCACGGCCACACGGAAATGGGTCTCGCTCCCGGGGGGCACAGCGTGGCCACTGCTCTCATTGCGAAGCTCCAGCACCTCCGGGCTCAGAGCCTGCTCCAGCTTCGCTCTTATCGTTGCTTCCACAGGGCCCTCCATTCCGGCCCTCTTTACGCAGCCACTGGACAGATGGAGGCAGCCGGACACGGCCCGAGGGGCCAGAAGTCGGACTCGCAGCCCACTCAGCATCAGCTACAGGAAGGATGGGGGAAGGGGAGAGGTCGGGAGGGAACAAAGGACAAATGAGACTTAGGGACCCTCCCATACAAACCGTGACCTCACCCCTACCCCATATCCCAATGCAAGCACCCAAGCCCCCTCAATCAGGCACCCCACCCAAACTGCACCAAGCTGGGAAGTGGGATTCGGGAGATTCCACTCCAACCTTCTGTGACGTCAAGGAAGGAGGCTACAAAACGCTCGGGGTGGGCAGGGAGGGGGCGCCTGGAACGAGCGCTGGAGGCTGGCGGTGGTGGTGCTAATGGGGAGATATGGGTCGTGGGTGCGGGGAAGGGATGGGAGGGGGTGAGGAGTGGTGTGTGTGCGGGGGAGGGGGGAAGGGGTCGCCTGCGTCAGGCAGGAGGTGCTTGCACTGAAGAGGGGGAGAGCTGTTGCTGCAGATGGAAGGACTGATTGAATGAATGAATGAATCATGCATTAATTAAGCGCTTACTACGTGCACAGCTCTGAGCTAAGCACTGGGCATACAAGCCTATTCTATTTTCTGATATTTTCTACTTTCTAATGGCGGCGGGAGGAACAACACACACGGAAGGGTTGGGGTGCACTTTCTTCAGGGGTGACATCTGAGCCCATGCCCAACCCGGCCCCTTTTCTACCTGTCTCTAGAGGTCGGCTCCTTCCGCCACTCCCGACTTCGTTACGCCCGCTCCGTTCTTCCACGCGCGGAGGACGCACCGGGAATTGGCGTCTCGGCTTCGCGAGACATGCCGGGAAATGGAGTCCTTATCCCCTCATTGGAGGGCGTTGGTACCAAATTCCCGACATGCCGCGTATCCAGCTTCCCGAGCATTATGGGAATTGTAGTTCTTCCTCAGAGTTTCTGTTGAGCCTGCAGTACCCTAGGTAGGTCAACAGAGGCACTATGGGAGAGTTGGGACAGCATGAAAGAGGATAGGTGTATTGGATTGAACTGTCTGCCTGCTAGCTCTCCTTAGCAACAGCCCAATACTCAATTCATTAATCAGAGACAGAAAATGAGCAGTGTTATAAATCCAATATTCATACCAAGAACATCACCTAACACACACACACACACACACACACACACACACACACACTCTGAGTGATGCATATACACACACATGCATATGTACGTATGTATATCTGTATGTGTGTAAATATATGTATATGTATGTATGTGTTTGTGTGTATCAGGGGTTCAAATGAATGAATCAATGATCAAGCAGCTCTCCCAAATTGCACCTGTTAGTGGGAAGACCTAGTGGTGTCCAGTCCCTTTCATCCTGAACCACAGGGGAAATCACTAATTAGGGAACTGAGTCACAGTATAGGAAAGGCAGGAATTACAGAACTAAGGAACTTGGTCTCAAGGTTGCCAACTCCTAGACTACCTTGACTTTTTAAAGGTACCTCTAACCCCATAAAATTCTAGGTCATGATGGGAAATCCTCTCATTATTTTGGGAAAAGACAAGTCAGAATAAAGCACAACATTGCTCACATTCTCCTAAGAAGAAGATTAAATATAATTATCATAAAATTACGTTTGGAAGGGACCTTAGAGATCAAATCCCCACTTTTGACATATCAGAGACCTGAGGCTTTGAAAAGTGAAATGATTTATCTGAGCTTCCATAACTGGTTTAGTTTAGAGCTAGGACTAGAATTAAGGTCTGATTCCCAGGTCAGGGCTCATTTCAATATATCAAGCTATATTACCTCTAAAGTGTCAACTCCTTTTACTTCTCCCTAAAACAAGCACAAGGCAAAATACTTAATAATCTTAGCTCATTTAGGTGGTGCTGTTTATAAATTGTTATCTTTAAGGTAAATAGTACAAGTATTTAGCATATCCATTTTATAGATAGTTGAGGAAAAAGAGGCTCAGAGAGATTAAATGACTTGTCCCTGGTCAGACAGCTAGCTGGTAAGTGTATGAGCTGAGATGGGAATCTAGATGCCTTCTGACATCTAGGTTTCTACTATACCATATGTCAACCCTGAGATGCATTCGCCCCACTCCTTGCATATGTATTGTTTCCCTTATTAGAATGTAAACTTTTTGTATTCTCTTCTTTAATTAATAAAGACAACAAAGTAGTATTTATTAACTAAGAATTAATTTGTAATCAGGAGATCATAACCTCTTTTATGGTTATAGTTTGAATGGAAAGTAATAAGGTTCTGCCACTCTTTTCGGATCTCTGTGGTTTCCATAATGGCTATCAAATCAATGGAAGATCGGGAATCTCAGATTTTACTTTGCAGGATATTCTAACTAGAGACACAAGGATGGGATGGGAGAAGATGGAGAATGGTTTCATATTTGAATCCAGTCAGATTTAGTAAATAATACTACTAACAGTTGAAAACTAACATTTACATGGTGCTTTAAAGTTTATAAAATGCCTCTTTTTTTTTTTTTTAACAACAGGCCTGTGAAATACCCCAAAATGGTAGTGATGGGGTGATGGGATCTGGACCCCTAAAAGGAAAAGACCATGTCTTTGAAAGCAATCCAGTCCCTGAATTTTCCCATACATTTCAGCAGCCCAGACCACTGGCATTTTGCCCGAGTCATCTGGCCCATCCCAGCCCACTTAGCTACTTGACAATGCTTTCACAGTGGCTCTTGACCCAGACTACTTAACTCCTTTCATTGTGGCACCTGGCCCACCCCAGGCTATTTACCACTCCTTAATCCCATCCAGATCTTTTCACTTTTCTTTTTTTATATATAAGTACCAGTCTTACCCCCAGTGAGTTGCAGATTCATCAGGAATCTAGCCCGAACTATTGGCTTGACAATAAACCTTGCCACCTTGACTGAAAGAAGGTTTGAGTGCATGAATTCATTCCAGGTGGATGCTGCCCTGTATCCTTCCATTTCAGGGTTCCCAGCACCCCAAACCACATCAGTAGGATATGTTGGAATAGAGGACTTCCAATATAATAATTGGGATATGTAACAATTCTAACCATGCTGATCACTTCAAAGTCACCTTTGTATGTATTAGCCCCAATTTTTAAAATTAGAGTTGTTCCTATTAATATAGCACTTCAAAGTTTGCAAAGCATTTTATGTACATTATTTCACTTGCTCCTCACAATGACTCTGTGAGGTAGGTGTTATTATTACCGTCATTTTACAGATGAGGATACTGAGGTTCAGAGGGGCTAAGCAATTTGTTGAGGGTCAGCTAGCAAGTGCAGGAAGCAGTATTTGAATGTGAATCATTCAAATGCAGGTTTTCCTAACTATAAACCCAACACCATTCACTATACCAGAATCTGTCTTTTATGACCCAATATTCCAAGTTCTGTATTTACATAGGTGGCATTCAATCTTCGGTTTCCTCAGAATTTCTACCAGGAAACTCAGAATATAGCTTATATCTATGTCTCAACAGTTTCGGGGTCAACAGAATTTTCAGGGTCCTTGCTAGCTACTGACTAAATAAGCCAGCACAGGATACAGATAGACAAATAAAGTACAGTTTACCCACTCAAGAGTGGAACACACACCATCATTAGGTGATGGACATATGTGTACACACATGCACACACATAGACATTATTTTGTTGTTCAGTCATATCTGACTCTTCATGAGCCCATTTGGGTATTTTCTTGGTAAAAATACTGGAATGGTTTGCCATTTTCTTCTCTAGCACATTTTTACAGGTGAGAAAACTGAGGCAAACAGGGTTAAGTGACTTGCCCAGGGTCAGACAGTTAGTAGGTCAGATTTGAATTCAGGTCTTCCTGCTCGCGCTGTCTCTCTCTCTCTCTCTCTCTCTCTCTCTCTCTCTCTCTCTCTCTCTCTCTCTCTCTCTCTCTCACACACACACATACCCCTTTTTTCCTGAGCTATGTGACCTACTTTTAAGAGCTCTTCCTCTTCTTCCTCTTTCCCTCCTCCTTCTCCTCTTCCTTCTTCTTTTCTGTCCATGTGGGGAGTCATACCCTTACATGTGGGTGCTTTGTCCAAAGGACTATAATTTTTGATCATTTGTGCTTCACAAGGTATCTTGGGATTTGGTAGCTAGATTCCTCCCACTCCATTTATTTAGCATTATTTTTTCAAAAAGCTGGGACAATTGACTCTTTGTTTCATGGAGTTTTCATTTATGATTTCTTGAACTATGGCTCTGAAAAAATAGGCTTTGAAAAAGCTCATTGTGATTGAAATGGAGCTACTTTACTATGCCTGTAAACAGCAATCACTCTAGCTTTCACTGATTAGCCAATAATAGGTCCCAGCCTAAGGCCCTTTTGCTCTTTGTTGGGTTTTTGTGGCTCAGAGTGAGTGTAAATAAGCAATGTTTTTTGTTCTGGAGAAAAACTCTTAGAGTCTTCCCCTTTCAGATTGATTCTTTGTGATGGCAAACTAGGCCATCTTTTGTCTCAATTCTTACCCAGCCCTTAATTATGGGTCAGACAAACTGAGACCTGGGAAAGACAGCTTAAAAAGGCCTAGGTCTCCCACTGCATCCTGGGCTGTAGCGGCTGTCTTGACTTATGTCTTGCCACTGGACTGGGATAGTGCTGGAAGAGAGAGTGATGCTGACTTTTTGCAGCTCTGACTCACTTAAATCCAGTCCACTTGGAAGTCAAGATATCACCTTCCTGACGTCATTGGTCCTCTTGGAGAATGAAGGATGACCTAGTGACAGTAGCAGAAGAGAAGCTATGTTTATTGTGGGATAAGATCCAGTAGGGCACCTTGGCAGAAAGAAAAGGTGCTTTTAGGATGCTTAAATTGTTACCAAGCAAAGAAAGAATGTGTCAGATAGCATAGCCATTTACTCTAGACTAAAGACAGTATCTTCTTTATCAGTCAGTTAGTTAATTAGTATTTGTTAAGCTACTGTTGCTCAGTCGTGTCCCTGACCCCTTCTTTGCAAAGATACTAGAATTCCTAGCTTATTTTACAGATGAGGAAACTGAGGAAAACAGGGTTTAAGTAAGATGCCCAGGTAAGCCCAGTAAGTGTCTGAGTCCAGATTTGAACTCAGAAAGATCAGTCCTCCTGACTCTAGGTCTGGCACTCTGTACACAAAGCCACCAACTGTTTATTGTTAAGCTACTATTGCTTCTTTGTTAGATAGGATAAAGAGAAGGGAGGGAGTTCTTGGAACTATGTATTCAAAGTCTTCTAGAATTTTCCTTTGTAACACTATGAGTAGGAAGGGAAAAGAAAACATTTAACTTTAAGCTGTCGCTGAGATACATCCTGAGACATAGCAACTCTCCCCCTGCCCCCAAAAAAGGGCAAATATAGAGCAAAATATAGTCAGCTGTGTTCTCTCTAAAATCCACTTTCAACAACAGATATGTGGGAGGTATCCCTAGTTCCCTTTGTGGAAGCATATAAACACTTTTTAGTTCAACTGAAAATATTAAGAAATAATATTTTCTCTAAGCCTAAAAGCTTTTTTAGAATTTCCCCTAGAAAAGCGGGCATAACAAAAGCTAAGGCTCTTGAAAAGATGAGGGGTGGAGATCAGGTTTATTTTTTTGTCTTGTTTAGATCCTTGCCTTCTCCATCCCAAGAAGCAGTAGGCAAGTGAAAGAAAGAAGCAACCTCTTCTGTTATTCAGAAAGGATTGTGATGTTGATCGTGGGAGGAGAGCATCTCTGTCCTTGTGGGGAGAGAGAGAGAGGAAGGAATTGTGTAGTGGCTATTGTTCTGGAATCTTAATCATGAATTGCTTTTATAATTATTATCATTTTTTCCTTGTTCAAGATTCCTACCTCAAATTTTCTTGAGGTAGAGAGATAGAGAAATGTCTGAGGGCGTGAAGACACTATATTAGTTTGAGCTAGAAATGTTTGGATTTAGGATAATGTTAAATTAAAAAAATTTTGTTTCTGGCAG